TCTCTCTCTCACAACACAGACACACCCGTACCTCTCTCTCTCACAACACAGACACACACCCGTACCTCTCTCTCTCACAACACAGACACACACATCCACACCCATACCTCGGCAAACTCGCCCATGATGTAGTTGAGCCGGGCCAGCAGACGTAGACAGGCGGCGATCTCAGGGTGCATGGCGCCGTACACGTTGTTGAGCAGGTTGAGCGCCTCGCTGATCAGCTCGTAGCCCTCACGCAGCAAGCCCTGCTGGATCTTGTTCTGGCCACTCGAGAAGAAGTGGAATGCATCTGTTGCCTGGACAGGAGGAGAGAGGAAATAATATGAAGTAACATAACAAAAAGGAGCTTTTTTAAACACACAAAAATCAAGTGGGCTATATTTCTGTTACTTTGTCTTAATAAAGAGAAGCAGATCAACACAATTACGACCGCTATCAGGGGCACCCTGCTACCATCTGCCTAATCAAGTGTACTATGATTTCTTAAAAAGAAGAGAAAACAGGACAAAAAACAAAAACAACAAACAACCCCCCTCTAAAAATACAAAACAAAAACCAAACCCTCCGCCAGTTATGACTTTAATGTTAAAAGTTCATGAACAGAGTAGCCAACAAGCAAACAGCTATACCAGTAATAGAGATGGGTAATGCTATGTGTCACATTGACAAAGACAAACTTTATTCATCTCACAGGGAGAAATTTGTCTTGGTCGTTTACAATGGCAGTAGATGTTATAAAGGTTAGGTGCACTCACGCATACACACAACAAGACAGGACATTGGTAATTAATACATGTCTCACGTGCTGGTACAACCTGCTCCGCGAAACATTCTCTCTCTCTCTCAGTTTCATTTGTAGCACTGCGTGTTCAGTAACCTCACAGTAGTTGGTACGAAAGAATTTCTTTATCATATATATATCACGTTTACAGGTGTTCTCCCACCCACTCACCCTGGGACTGATGTGTTTGACTCACCCTGGGACTGATGTGTTTGACGATGGGGTAGACATTGACGATGTCGTCCTCGGAGAAGCACGGCCGACCCTTGTTCTCCAGACTGTACTCCTTCAGCTGCATCTGCACGCCGCACTTGAGGCAGATGGACCGCAGCAACGCCACGCGCTGGCAGCCGTACTGCTCCATGGCTCCGTCGATTCCGTCGCTGGGGACACCACACAAATATCATTTCCACTGACACGTTACTTACGTACACAGGATCAATTGGTTGCTTTTAAGCACAAGGGGGCTATCCCAAAAAACGCTGTTTTGAGAAAATCGAAGGTAAAGTTTTTGTTCCTTGTTCAGTTTCTTTAAAAGACAAGGAGAGTTTTCTCTATAACCAAACAAATATACACACCAATGAAACCAAACTTCTCCTATAAGTAGGGCAATGCCCATTTTTGGTGTAGGTCAAGATTTCTGGAAAGCCCCGAAATCTGAGTTAGCCCACTTGTCCGTAAAAGCGACCAATCGTACAGGAAAAATTTAAGGAAAATGCCTAAAATAATTCCCTCCAAAATGTAAAAATGCCAGCAAGTTTGAACAGATGTCTTATGGAGTTAAAACTCGCAAGCTGGAAATGTTAAACTTCCTATCACTCCTGGAAAACTACCAGGAATGTGTTATTCAGGGTTCATGCTCAGCACGAGATTTTGTTCACATGACTTTTTCAAGAGTTTTCAAGACCAGATTTCTTTTTTCCAAGACAAATAACGTGTCATTTCGGAAGAAATTTTTTTGTTCAGCATGCAAAAATACATTATGGTACGATACACTTCAGAATGCGTAAAGTTGAGGCCTTCTGAACTTTGAGGAAGTATTTTCAAAATAGATTCACTTAAAAATTTGTTTTTCCAAGAATTTTGCCAATTTCCCAAACTCTCAAGAGTTTTCCACGTCTTGGGAAATAAAAACAAAATTCCACGAGTTTTCCAAGACCTGTACGGTCCCTGCTTATTTAGTTTTCCTAAGTTTTACAGCACTTACAACACAATTAGAACAACACATCAACACGTTCACTGAACCTTCCATACCACACCCCACTCACTCACCACTCTAGCACATAGCTGTAGTACTCATCTAGACTAAATCCCCACTACCACACCCCACTCACCACTCTAGCACATAGCTGTAGTACTCGTCCGCCTCGTCGATGATTTTCTTCCACAGGCTCTTGGGAGTCTCCGACGACCACTCTGTGTTTTCTGAGGGAGAAGTCAAAGTTTATTTTAGTAAGAGTTTTACGGCACTTGCAACACAATAAGGCCATATAAAAGAAGGAGGGGAGATTAAAAACGATAAACGTTCAACAGGAAAGAAGAAGCAAACCACACCAGAGCACCTGCCAACCACCCACTCCAAGTCATGACCTCCCACCACCCTCTGTGTCCCACTGTTCTGTCAGTGTCATCATCTCAGTCCTATCATTCAGAATCAAGAAATGTCATAAGACGTAAGGCTCTTGTAGGTTCATCACAGACATAACACACGACAGTATCGCCAATCACAATACGGACTACTTCTTTCAACCCATGGCATTTTGTTGTTCAAGTTTACGATTGCCTTCAACTTAGCTTTAATAGAGGTTTTACGGCACTCGCAACTGCATAAAAGGTCATATGAGCGCCAGAAGATTAGAGGTGTTACAAGAGAGTAACAAAACATTTTTTAAAAAAGGTGGAGATAAGGACGATAGATGTTTGACAGGAAAGAAGAAGCAAACCACACAAGAGCACCCACCAACCACCCACCCACTTGCCTTCAACAGCAAGCACGTAATCATGAGAAAAGAAAACCATCACACAGAGAAAGTACCAAGTCCTGACTAAGGTCACAGTTTCTCCTGAATATAACTGACACGACAGTCTTTCTCTTACTTCAACAGACGTCACAGTCTCTCTCTTATTACAACTGACATGACAATAACCACAGTCTCTCTTACCTATAACTGACTTCACAATAACCACAGTCTCTCTTACCTATACTGACATGACAATAACCACAGTCTCTCTTACCTATAACTGACTTCACAATAACCAGTCTCTCTTACCTATAACTGACATGACAATAACCACAGTCTCTCTTACCTATAACTGACATGACAATAACCACAGTCTCTCTTACCTATACTGACATGACAATAACCACAGTCTCTCTTACCTATACTGACATGACAATAACCAC